TGCCTGGGCGCCTAACAAGCTGAATTGTACTGGTTGGGGCTGGAGGGTATTTTAAGCCACATCCTCCCACCCCTGTGTTAGTTTCTCTAGCATATTACTGGTGATCTTCTAAGACAAGGCCAAACTAGAGTTTAGGCCTATCTGTTCTGTAACATTACCCTGACAGAGTAGTGAGGGAGTTAATCTGATCTAGGGGTGTGTACAGTGTGTCTTGGGTGCTCATCAGATGTTGGGCAGGTATTTGATTGATTGTCCTGTTCTCTTGGGGCAACCATTCACACAATTTAAGGAATAAAACAAAAATCAAAACCACAGCTAGCAGCGGGTGGGTGGGAAAGCAAGGACTAGGGTAAGCAGAATCCAAGTAATTAAAAAACACAGCTAGCTGGGGACCTGGGAAGCAAGAACTAAGGTAAGCAGCCTGAAAAGAAATGAATATCACGGGGAGCAATTCTGTGAATGATGTCCTCAGGCTTCAGTCACTCATGTGTTGTCTAGGTAAATTTTTTCAGTGGATCTAAGCCTGGATTTCTGAAATGTGCAGAGGTAGTTAGTATGTACCCGGGTTTTATGCATGTGCAGGAGTACCTACAGTTATAGCTGGTCTTCTAAGTTCTTACAAGCTATATGTAGTTTTCATTTAATCTAGTTTTTGAGTTAGTTCTGCTATGAATGCAGGCCCGTTGACATTGTCACTGGCAATGATCAAGGGTAGGCCATATCTAGAGGTGATGTTTTTTCACAACAGGACCCTACAAGCTTTTATTGTCTTTTCAGTACTGGTAGAGAATGGGGGGTGAGGCCGGTGACCCAGACTCTGAAGCCTAAGTGGGCTGCAGGGGTACAGTGCCTGTGCATTGGCTTGAGCTTGCAGAACGAGCAGCGGGGGCAGGTCTGGCACTGATCTCCCAGGAATACTGTTTTTTTTCCAATTGGATTCTCTGAGGAGGCTTAGGCCTCTAGATTATTTTGTGTTGTCGGTGGCAGGTTTCTACACATTAACAGGAAGCAATCTGCTATGCAGCTCATCCTTGCAGGAGGGTGTTGGCCAAAATAGTTTTGTCCAAGGTGACCGTAGCATATCTAGCCTGTTAGATAGACTTTATATCTAACATAGCTACTTCCATCTGTAAGCAGGGTGTACTCGGCATATGTCAGGGGTCCTTTGTAAGGAATGGACCATCCTGGTACAGCGTGTGGCACCTGAACAGTTAGGTCTCGGTCTAAGGTGGGCTTGTTTGCTTTCTTGATTAGAGGGCCAGTGGCTATTAGAGCGTGGAGGCATGGGGGAAGGCAGTTCCGAGGGATTGGAGGGTGATTGCCATGGTCCTGGCTGCCTGGAGATCTTTATTTATTTATTTTTTTGCAGAACTGGGGATTGAATTCAGACCCTTGCGCTTGCCAGTCAAGCGCTTATTCTACTGAGCTATCTCCCTGGCCCCTGCCTGGAGATCTTGAACTGGCATTATAGGCCCCAGAGGTTTACTGTTTGTTGCAGGTGGGGTGACTTTGGGACAGAACTCAATTACCAAAGGGATATGATTGATAGCCAGCCTTGGGGTGAGTCCTTTGTCCGTACTTCTGGAACTGAGTCTCAATATTTCAGGATTATGATTATCAAACATCTCACGCTAATGTTGACGTTCTTTTTCCTCCTGGGGTACAGTTAGGGTCAATATCAAGTCTGTGACAGTGGACCCAAGTGTGAGGGAGGCTGCTTGTGTCGCAGGAGAGGTATAGGGCATTCAAGCATGTCCAGGAATTGTATTTGGTAAAGCGTCCATCAGTCTCACGGGACCTGCTTTGGCAGAATTTCTTTTCAGTGGGGGCTCGAGTGGGTAATTTCAGTAACTTTAGACAGGTTTATTGACTTCTTTGAGCTCTGCCAGGAGAACAGTTTGGTAGTGATCTAAGGCTTCATGGCACGTGGTCACATTACAGTC